ATAACATAAAGGTGTTGGGCACTATGCTAAGTGCTGGGGGTACAAAGACAAGAAAAAGGACAGAAGCTGCTCTCAAGGACTTTGCAGTCTAATGGGGAGACAACATGAAAACCCCTATACACAAAAGAAGATATATACAGAATAAATTGGAGATAATCAACAGAGGGAAGGAATTAGAATTAAGGGCTATCAGGAAAGGCTTTGTGTAGAAGGCAGACTTCACTGAGGCTCCAGAGAAGCCAGGAGGCTAAGATGAGGAGGAAGAGAATTTCAAACATAGGGGGCAACTAGGGAAAATGTACAAAGTTGGGAGATGGAATATCTTATATGAGGCAAAGCAAAGTGTCCCTGAATCAAAGAGTGGAAGGCCGATGGAGATAAAGTATAAGAATAAAAATGTAGGAGGGACCCAAATTTTGAAGGACTTTGAATGTCATACGAATGATTTTATATTTGATTCTAGAAGTCATAGGGAGCCACAGAAGTTTACTGAATATGACATTGACATACTTACATGATATGTGAAAAGTTCGAAAGACACAGTTTCTGGGTAATTAATCATTTTATTAACAATGCTAGAATATTATTAATAAAAGGATGGTCATTTGGACATCTCTCAGACCAAAGACTCCTTATGCAACCCACTCAACACTTATGGGTGTCCTGAGGGTTGAAATCAACTCTGATTGGTTAATAAATAATGAGAGAATGAATATTATAATGAGAGGTAGACTTATTCTAATGAAGGTCTGGGATCCGACTCTGATCATTCAGTTTTGTTCAAAGAGAATTATCTGTATCCATATCACCCATCTGACAAAAAGAAGCCACATTTTCCCAGAACTGTCTGAGTAAAACACAATGGGCCAGAATCTATCAATTCACCTAACTTTACCTTTTGAACAGATCTGAATTCTCCCCGTCAGTGCCCTGCACTTCAAAAACTGCCTGAGTAACCTACAGGGACTGATTTCTGAATGAAGAAGTAGGAAAAGAGAAAGGAAAGAGGAAAATCTTGATCCTAATTCAATAATTAGTTATTAAATACAAGAGAGAAATAATCATTTCTTTCACTTAGATATGGTTTATGAAAACTAATTAACAGATGAGTGGAGAATGACGGGGAATAGGGGAGAATCTTGAGGCAGGGATACCAACCAGCAGGCTTTTACAGTAGTTTGGGAGTGAGGTAAAAGAACCTGTATCAGAGCGACAGCAGTGTCATAGAAGTGCAGATGGGGATAGAAAGGAGACGTATTAGAAGGTAGAATACACAACACTTGGCAATAGATTGGAGGGGGTGGGCATAGTGAGGGGCAGAAAGGAACTTAAGATGACACCTAGATTTCAACTTGTATGACTGGGATGATAGCGATGCCTTAGACAGTAAGAGGGAAAGATGAAAGGAAGAGATGAGGGTTTAGGGGAAAGATAACAACTTCAGTCTTGGATATGTTGAGTTGAAGGTGTCTGTGGCACATTCAGTTGAAGATGTCCAATAGGCAGCTGATGATACAGACTGGAGGTCAGGAGGAAGGTTGCAGCTGGATAAATAGACTTGAGAATCCTCTACATGGAGAAGATAACTGAATCCATGGGAGCTGATGGCATCACCAAGCAAGACAGCACAGAGGGAGAAGAGGGCTTAGGACCAAAGTCTTGGGGAAACCCACTCTTAGTGAGTCTGACCTGGATGAAGATCTGGCAAAGTCCCCTGAAGAGAGGTCAAACAAGTATGAATACAAAAATGTAGAAGAGAGGATCAAGAAGAAGGTAATCTCTGAGAGTGTCAAAGGCTGCAGAGGTCAAGATGGAAGAGAATTGAAAAAAGGCCATTAGATGTGGCATTTAAGAGATCATTGGTAACTTAGGAGACAGTTTGTTGTTGTTCAGTCATTTCAGTCATGTCTAACTCTTTGTGACCCCATTTGGGGCTTTCTTGGCAAAGATATTAGAATAGTTTGCCATTTCTTTCTCCAGCTCATTTTACAGATGAAGAAACTGAGGCAAGCTAGGTTTAATGACTTGCCCAGGGTCACGCTGCTAGTAAGTATCTGAGGCTGAATGAATTTGAACTCAGGAAGATGAGTCTTCCTGACTCCAGGCCTGGCACTCTAACCATTTCACCCATGGTTTCAGTTAAATGAGATCAGAAACCAGATGGCAGAGAGTTAAGAACGGAGTGGAAGCACCAGTCATAGATAGGCCTATGAAGGAGTTTAGTCACAAAAGAGAGAAGAGAGGAGAAAGGGGGAAAGAGAGACAGATAGACAGACAGAGACAGAGAGACAGAGAGACAAAGAGAGACAGAGAGAGACAGAGAGACAGAGTGAGTGAGAAGAGATGGGATGTTAGTTACTGGGAATAGATGGATCAAGCGGAGCTATTTTGAGGATGGTAGAGACATGGACATGATTGCAGGCAATAGGGAGGCTGCCAGGAGACAGAGAGACTGAAGATAAGTGAGAATGATGATGGCAGAAGGAGCAGTCTGCTGGAGGAGACAGGATGGAATGGTATCACTTGCGCATGTAGAGGAGATTGCCTTGGCAAGAAGGAGCATCTCTTCATGTGAGACAGGGGCGAAGATGATAGTGGCAAAAAGCAACTGAGTAGTGTGAGATGAGGGAGAGGGGATAAACGGTTTCTCTCAGAGAATAGCCTCGATTTCTTTTCAGTGAAATAGGAGATAAGGTTCTCAGCATAGAAGGATTAAGGAGGTGGTGTGATGGGATTGAAGGTAAAAAGGCACGGACAAGCCACAGTGGTGAGTAGGATAGTGAGTCAATTAGAGAGGACAAAAGGATTGCTTCACCACAGTGAGGGCTTGGTTGAGATTATGTAATTTCTAGTGGACTCAGCATGGTTTTGTGATTTTCTTCCACTTCATTCTACAGCGCGTGAGTAGGCGTGAAGGCAGCAGATGGTGGGAGTACTCTAAGACCAAAGCTTGGCAAAGCAAGATAAATTGTCATTCTTCTCACCTTGTGTTGGTCACATCACTCCTCTAGCAACTCTCTTAACTCTTCCCACTGGAGAACTAATTTTCCTTTCAAATTGGTGAGAGAAAAAAATGCAAGACCCTATCTCTCATACCAGTCCCATATGGATATAGCCTCCCAAACCAAAGCTGATGGGTCTAAGATCTAAGTCAAAGATCTGGGACTAAGTTCTTTATTTGCTCTGGGGAGTTGTAAAATTGAATCAATAAATCCCTCGTTTTATTCAAATCCCCTTCTTGTAGAAGGTGAAACTTTAACTGTGACTTGAAACCAGGAAAGCCAGAGGAGTCCCAGTCATTTTGCAAGGATTCTCTCTCTCTCTCTCTCTCTCTCTCTCCTCCTCCTGTCTGTCTCTCTCTGCTTCCCTCTACCTCCTCTCTTCTCTTCTCTCTCTCTTTTTCTCATTTATCTCTCCCCCCATCTCTGTATCTTTCTCCTTTTCCCCTCCCCCAAATTGTTGCCACTATTGTTTTTGTTTGCTACATTTACACAAAGACACATAAGGTCAGCAGTCCAATAGTTAAACTCATTTATCATACTTAAAAAGCAAAAAGAAATAGAAAATAAGCAAACCCTTAAGAAATGGGGTATAGGCAACACCTCTCCAAGGAGGGAAGAGGGAGGTGCTGGTAAAGAACAACAACTTAAAATTAAAAACGAAATATATTTGTTCTTCCTCCCAGGACTATTATGAGGATCAATACGATATAATGTGTGAAAGCATTCTGCAAACTCTTATAAAAATGAAGGAACCATCATTACACAGTGAGCAGAAAACTCCCACTCTCAAAGAAGAGGAATGTGTTAGCTCATTAAGATGGTTGACTACCCGGCACTTTCAGCATTGTGGACACAGGAATTTTTAACTCACTACAAATTCCATGGCTTAAAAAAATAAAAATAAAGCATTTCATCAAGAAGTTTTTATTCTGAGGCCCTACTGATGCATTTTTGATTGAAAAAGCTGCTGGTTTCCCATCTACCAAAAAAGACTAGAAAAAGGTCAGGCGCTGAAGTTTACTTCTTCTCTTGTACTTAACTGGTAGGCCATCTTACCCCCAAAACCATGCAGTTTAAAAAGCTGCTGCTTGTTTCTATAGTACAATTTTCACTCTCCTTCCCCCTTACCTAAATAAATGAATGAATGAATGAATCAGAATAGTTTCTTCACTACCAGTGGAAATTGTTTTTGGTTAGGGTAGTTTGTGATTCACCTTAGAAAATCACTTGATCATTTCCCACATAATGTTCCTGTGAGTAAGCAGAGAGGTGGCAAGGGGTTTTGAAATGGAGTACCGGAACTGATTCCTGATTAAAAATGCATCAATAGCATAAAACCATACATACTACACTTCCCCATTTAAGTGACAATACTTTTCACATTGTTCTTAATGTAAGTTATTTTTATTTTATAGAAGAAATACCTTCAAAGAATACAAATGACAGAATCATAGAGGACCATGACAAAAAAAAAAAAAAAAAACAACAACAACAGAGATGAATACTGATTATAACTTATTACCATGACAGAAGAGTTTTCATTTCAATGGTTAGCTTCTTGGGCAGTTAACAATGATTATAGACACAGAAACAAGTCCATTTCACTTGCTGAGATGCTTTGTTGCAATACACTGAATAAGCTGACTTTTTAAACTTTCTTTGCTTTTGACATATTCTAGGTGTTTCTCAAATAGGAGTATTAACACTAACACCACTTAATCACTTTCTGCCTAGAATAACAGTCAAATCAGGGTAGAATACTTTTTGTTAGGTAACACAGTGATTGGGCAAAATGAAAACTAGTGGAAACACCAGCTTAAGACTTAAGTATTCTATTTTCAGGCTGAGTATTCCTTATCTGGGACACTTTTAGTGACTATACATTCCATCTACTGTGTGTGAGGTATGGTATGGCAAGTTTCATTATTCACTAACTGAGAAATCATGTGTGTAAGTTCTGAAAAATCATGGCTACCTCCTTTCTTGTTTTAGGGATTCTGCTGCCATAACCTGGAAGGTTCCAGCTCTAGGGTTTTTTTTTTTTTGAGCTTGGATAGTCAGAGGACAGGATGAAACAGAGGTGAAGGTGGCTCTCCAATTAGGTTAACTCCTGCCACTGATGCACAGGACCTGACCCATTTCTTCCTCACATCCCTGTTTTTCATTTAACTAAATCTCCTCTCCTTGTTATGGTCCCACTCAATTGCAGAGACAACAGAACAGAGAAGGTAGAGGAAGGCAGAACAAAAGAGGGGTAGGAAGAACAACACAATTGGGTGAGTGAAGGAGCTAGCTGTATTTTTAAAAAAAAAAATTTTGAATTATTGAAATGGAAGCCAAGGAAGGGTTCTCACTTTGGAAAAGTAACTATCTAAATTGGGGCAGTGAAAGGAGCTATCTGGAAAATACTGATTTTGTAATTGGTTTTCCAATATACCAGTAATACCAGTTTTCCAACACAGCTAGTTATTTGGCAGTTGAAGCCATAACAAACCCCCATAGGAGGGTAAATAATATTTGTTTCCTGCTACAGAAAGGATACGATTGCTTTCAGGTGCACAGAAAAGTGCCATGCTGGATTTTCCATTGCTGCAAACATGGTACTATAGGAAAAGAGAATTTACTAACTACTCCCACCTATAAATCTTCTGTTAACCAAACAAATGTTTTGGCAGCACAGCAAGGTGCAACATCTGGTAGGGGAAAATGCTGTTGTTGGCTTTCATTTGCACAGAAATATGGAAAATACTTTTATCTGTGGACCAGAAATTCTGATTAGTATTAATGTTTTGTGAGTTTGTGAATACGTGTGTGTATGTATGTGTGTGAACATGCATAAATATATCAACAAAGCAAGACCAAAGCCAGAAGACACATAACAAATATAGAGGTTACAAGTAACATAAATATTGAAGTCTTACCACCATTAAACAGACTCTTTTGGCATCTGTTTAATAATCCTGCAAAACCCACTCTTAATCCATGTAAAATTATAGCAAAGTTGGATATGCAGGGTGGGAGTCCAGAAATTGATGAGATAAGGAAGACTAGTAGGGACTAGAGGGGATAAAGTCTCATTTATTAGGGAAATGTCAAGGGGTGAGGAAAGAAATAAAAGAAATAAAGAATTTTTGTGACATTTTGTGGGACCCAAGAAACAATTTTTTTGTTCCAAAGCTTTGTGAAGTATGACCTACTTTGTAAATGATAGTGTCTCATATTAATATGGTTTGAGATTTTTTTAAAAATACCATCACGTATTTTATTGCATAAGAACTATATTTATGACATTTTCAAGATGTCATAGGAACAATGTGTCTCTAGATTTAGGATAATATTCTCCTATTACATACTAAATACTCTGAGGTAAATGATTTATTGCCCCCAAAAATTGATTGCTCACTTTCCTAAAGACACATTTCCTAGAGAGGCTACTATCTCTAACTTGTTTGAATTGTTATATTCTTCAGTGGTTACATTAATATGGTGATTTCCTATTCACTTATTACTTTAGTCCTTGTATATCATGGCTGGATCATCTTAGCAAAGTGGTGAGTTGGTCATTACTAATGAATGTGAACACGGCAGACAGCCAATCTTGACACACCCAGAAAATGGAGACTTTGTACACCTGGCTTCAGATCACATAATGCATAAAGATACATTAGACAAAAGAGAAATGCAAACCTATTAGTGCACAGTAAGACTATGACATTACGTTCTGCAATGTATAAATGGGATTTTAATCAATGTTAAAAACATTGCAGGCTATAATATTTTAATATAACACATAAACAGTGCTAAAGAATACAATACACATAAGATACAAATATTAGAAACTGATAAAAGTGACGAATTCAGAACATAGTATTTTCATTTTCAGGTATCAGAAACAAAACCAGCCCAATAGTTCCATTCTACTGTATGACAAATACTGAAGAACAAAATTTCAGTCTTAAAATACATCTTAAAGTCAGTATTTTCCTTCAAGGAAAAAAAGTACTATAAATAAATTACAATACAGTGAATTTGCCTGAACTCACTTTGTTTCTGTCTTCCAGCCTTTAAGTCAAATAAAACAGCATTAAAAACTGTACACTCTTAACAGGATAGTTGATCTTTTATAAAATAAGCTGTCTTCGGAGATGTCAAATTCACAACAAGGAAAAACCAAGCCTTGCTGTAGTCACTATTATAAAATATATATGTATATATTTATATATGTTTTTGTTTTTTACAAAATGTGTATATTAATAGCTTTGCACAAATGTTTTAAAGATAAATTTAGCTAGTCTAATAACTTCATGAAAATAAAACAGATAAATACTTCATGTTTACAACACATCATACATCATCAGCTGGCAGAGGAGGTATGTTAATCCTTGGTCTTGTAAAAAATGCTATCTTCTCCCTGTCAATGAAGAAGATGATGAGTAAAAAAGATAATCAAAAACATTATTTTCTTCATTATAGATGATAGATATGATTGAATGAAATATGCCTGGCACATAGTAAGTTTTTAATAATATTGATTAACTGATTGACATGGGCTAGGTAGGAGTTTAAGGTAAAAAACCCTGTTGTAGCAGACTTTCTTTAATCAAGAATGAGAAACAGTTCATATAAGAGCATTTGAATGGCCTTTTAATTAACCCTACTGGCAGCTGTTAGGCTTTGTTTGTTTACCAGGTTTCAGGTGGTGGATACAGCAAGTTAAATTCAAAGACTTCAAAACCTGCCTCTAACACAGCCAGGCTCTGTGACCTGGGGCAAAAACACTTGAACTCTAGCTGTTATTGGCAGAGGTAATTTTCTCACCTTGAAGTTCCCTGTAACAATAAAATCTCAGATCCAGTCTCTAGCCAGTCCACTACATGAGGCTTTATATGAGATAAGGGCAGCTGTCTGGATACAGCACTGAGCTGAGAGTCAGAAAAACTCATCTTTTTTCATTTAAATCTGGCCTCAGATACTTTACTAGCTATGTGACCTTGGACAAGTCATTTAACTCTGTATGCCTCAATTTCCTCATCTGTGAAATGAGATGGAGAATGAAATGGCAAACCACTCCAGTATCTTTGCCAAGAAAACTCCAAATGGAGTCACAAAGAATCAGACACAACTGAAAAACAACTGAACAGCAAATGAGATATATAGATGCCACATAACCACCACCTAAAACTGTGAATCAGAAGAAAGTATTATATAGATTTGGACTCAGAAGACTTTGATCCTACTTCTACTACTTCATGTGTAATTTTGTTTATTTGTTTTTGGTTTTTTTGGGGGAGGCAATCAGGGTTAAGTGACTTGTCTAGGGTCGCACAGCTAAGTGTCTAAGGCCAGATTTGAACTCAGGTTTTACTGGCTTCAGGGCCAATATTCTGTCCACAGTACCACCTAGCTGCCCCTATTTCCTGCGTATTAGACAAGTCACTTAAACTTTCTGACTATTAGTTTCCTCATCTGTAAATTGTGATGGTTAAAAAAAAAATAACAAGTTAGTCTAGGTAGCTCTGAGGTCTTTTCCCAATTATGATTCTAAAAATTTTAAGTAATATTTTTTCAAATGCAACCATGGAATATTATTGCTTAATGATCATCTTGTCCAATCCCGCCCCCCTTTTTTTACATCTGAAACAACTAAAGCTCAAAGAGTTTTTCACATGAGATATGAAGCAAAATAAAAGAGAAGGAATGGCATGAATAAATTGCATTTATGAAGCTGTTATAAGAGGAATGCGTTCAAATTGAGTGACAGCATCGCAAGAGTGAGTGGGTATCATTTTAATTTTCTTACCTAAATGTTTGCACCTGAATGGGTTCCTTCTGGTTTTGCCCACGCAGCTGGTATATTTCTTTGGAAGCTTTCTTAAGCATTTTCTCAGCTGCCTGTTCTTGATGATGTTCAAGTTTGGTTTGTCTTGTCTGAAGAGGAACATATTTTTTTAAATAAAAAACAGAAACATTGCAACTAATCAAGCCTTTTGAATCTACGAAGAAGCTTATTATGAACTGTCACAAGCACATAGGAGAAAGTACTTTCTGTACTCTGATATTTCCACCAAAAAAAAAATCTATGCTGTCCCCTGGCAGTTCCAGTTTGGCCAAGACACAGCATCCCATTTACATATAATTGAAATGAAGATGACTAGAGGGTCGCAGTGATGCCAGGATCAGTTCTGTCCAGCCCTTCCCCCATACTGATATTCACTCCATTTAGGGACCTCTGCACTCATAAATGAGAAAAAGGCATTCTCCTAACTTTCTCTTTCCCACATAAACAAAAGTATACTTCTCCCCATCCTTCCACTTGGAGGAAGAAAACTGGACTCAGTATATTCCTTATGAATCTTTAATATGCATTTTCATACATACATAGTTATTTATTTTGGAAATCAAATGTAGAAGGCACAAGTTTTTTTATGGTATTAAGTTCAAGTTCCTTATTTTAGGACAAATATAGAAGTAAACTGGAAATGTGTAGTTAGAACACATGCATAGCATCTTACCTGCCTCTCTGCTTCCTTCAGCAAATTTCGGAATCGTTCATCTCGAAGAACCCAGTTGGGAAGGTCAGTTTGCCCTCGGACCTGGGCATCCTCCAAACGTTGCCTCAGTTCTCTCAAAGCGCATATCTCCTCATTCAGCTGTCTCTGTCTAGTACGTGATGCCTGGAGGTCCAGCTCCAGGTCTAAGGATGTCCGTGCCATAAGCTCAGCCAAAGAAGACCTACAAGACTACAAAAGGATCGTGATAAATCAAAATAGATGCAAGATGAGAGAGGAATGGAAACTATAACCCAACCATTGGGAACACACTTATTACTTAATACTTATTATTATTAACATACTTATTCACAGTCACGGTAAGGAAATTAACTAAGCTATAAAATATAAAGGTAGTTTATCTTTCTATGCCTATGGTTTAAAAAAAAAACAACTTTGTCAGATATCTTCCTCAAAATTCAAGTAAACTATATATCTACAGAATTTGCCTTATCTACCAGTAGAGCAACCTTGTCAATAAGTCAACAAGCATTTATTAAGTACCTGTTACCTGCCAAGAACTGTATTAAATGTTGACACAAAGAGTCTCTGCACTCAAGGAGGTGACAAGTGCATTGTGAGTGACAACATAAATTATGTACAAATAGGATACACACACACACACACACACGAGATACATTGGAGCTAATCTCAGAGAGAAGGCACTAGCATTAAGGAGAAGGTGATAAGAATTCTTGCAAAAGGTAGGATTTTAGTTGAGACTTGAAGGATGCCAGAGAGGTCAGAAGACAGACAAGGAGAAAGAATATTCCCGGTATGGGGAAAGGCCAATGAAAATGCAAGCAGTTGGGAAATGGAATGTCTTGAGTGAGGAAGAGCCAGGAGACCAGTGTCACTGGATCAAAGAGTATGTGGAAAAGGGAATAAGGTATGAGACTAGTAGGGTATGAGGGTCCCAGGCTATAAAAGCCAAAGACTGGATTTTATATTTGATCCTGGAAGTAATAGGTAAAGCCAGGTTGACTATTTCTAACCATCATTTTATGTCATATTTTTAATGTTTTATTGATGCTTTGAAGGGGTGGTGGTGAATGTTTCTTTAATCACTAACATTTCCCAATAGTACCCCCCATCTCTCTGTAACAGAAAGAGCAAAACAAACTGACTTATCAATTGTTTCTGACAGTACATGCATGTATGCATGTTTACCTATGTTTACCACTTCCATTGGGAGGAGAGAAACACATTTCACGATCAGTTGTCTGGAAACTAAATTCTGATTTTTAAAAAGTGTTTTTTGGTCATTTTGTGCATTCTTTTGGCTCTTCATGCTTAACAAGTTCATACAAATTTTCCTTTCTCTTTGGCAAGGCAATTTGGGTTAAGTGACTTGCCCAGAGTCACACAACTAGCAGGTATCAAGTGTCTGGTCTGAGACTGGATTTGAACTCATGTCCTCCTGACTGGAGTCAGGGCCTGTGCTCTATTCACTGCGCCACCTAGCTGCCCCTAAATTTTCCTTTCTCACTCTGAATTCCTTCTAATTCATCATTTCATACAGAGGAATTATATTCCATTACATTGATATACCAGAAGTTGTTCAGGCATTCCCCAATTGATGGGCACCTGCTTTGTTCCAGTTTTTTGTTTTGTTCTTGCTACAAAAGAAGTGCTGCCATGAAAATTTTGATTTACAAGGGACTGTTAAGTCATGGCTGACTCTTTGTGATCCCATTTCTTGGCAAAGATATTGGAGTGCTTTGCTATTTGCTTCTCCAGCTCATTTTACAGATGAGGAAACTGAGACAAACAGGGTTAAAGTGACTTGCTCAGGGTCACACAGTTTATAAGTGTCTCAGGCCAGATTTGAAGATGAGTCTTCCTGACTCCAATCCCAGCATTCTACCCATTGTGCCATATAGCTGCCCATAAGGGAGCTTACCCTTTGTCTTTGACTTCTTTGAGGTATATGCACAACAATAGTAATACTGAGTGTCAAATGGCATGATAATTTTAGTCCATTTTCCACACAATTCCAAACTATTTTCCAGAACATTTGACCCAATAGAAGCAGCTAGGTGGCACAGGAGATAGAATGCTAGACCCGGTGTCAGAACAACCTGAGTTCAAATCTAATCTCAGACACTTATTAGCTGTGTGACTCTAGGCAAGCCGCTTAAGCTCTGCTTGCCTCAGTTTCCTCATTTGTAAAATGGAGATAATAACAGCAACTACCTCAAGGGGGTGTTGTGAGGTTCAAATGACATAATATTTGTAAAGCACTTAGCACACTCATTGTAGGTGGTATATAAATGTTTATTCCCTTTCCTCCTCTCCCAATTCAGAACATTTCCAACAGTATATTCATACCCCACCCTTCCCATATCCCCTCCAGTATCAACTATTTGGCAGATATTAGGTGAAAGCTGTGTGTACCTTTGGAATGCTTAATAAGTGCCTAACACATGCAGGGGACAAGGCTACATAGTGACGTGGAGACATTAAAAATCTAAAACAACTGAGGTGATAGTGAGGTAGAGCCCACGGAGCAGTGACCTGGAAGAAAAGAGATCAAGGCTCTTGTCCCAACTCTGCCACATTCTGTGCGCCTCATCACTTCCATGGGTCTCAGTCCCTTCACCTATAAAATGTGAAGCTCCAACTAGCTGATCTCTAAGGTTACTTCAAGCTCCAAGAAGTTTATTCTAAGCAATGGGTAATTAAATTCTTAACTTTAAAGGCTAAATATCTTTAAATTCACTGAAATTTTTACTAAGATAATTAACACTAAGATCTACTTAATGATTCAATGACTGTTTTTATTGTTTCACATTCAAAAATCTATGTATGTAAGAATATATGTGTGGTTGTTTTTGTTTTTTGTTTTTTTTTAAATTAAATGAATGCAGTGATGTCTCTCCTTTCCAGAAGTGGGGGACAATTCCACAGAATACCACATATATTGTTGGGTTTGGTCAACACATTTAGTTTTGCTGTCCCCTTTTCTTTCTCTCACTTCTAACGGTCTTTGGAATACCCTTCTAGGAAATGAGAGGAAGGATATGTTGGAAAATGAAGGTGATGTAAAAACAAAAGATACCAATAATTTTTAAAAATTAAGTATGTTTAGGTTGAAAATAGATATTTAAGCCTGTCACTAAAGTAGTATGGGAATAAACCAACATAATCTGTTCAGAAAAGACAAAGGCAGAAAATTATCATGCATATAATTTAGGTATGATAAATAACAGGGTAGCCTCTTTACAAAAATTATGGCTGAACTGGAGGAAAAAAATATTTTAGCGGGGCAGCTAGGTGGCACAGTGGATAGAGTACTGGCCCTGAAGTCAGGAGGACCTGAGTTCAAATCCGGCCTCAGACCAAACACTTGACACGTACTAGCTGTGTGACCTTGGGCAAGTCACTTAACCCCGACTGCCTCACTTTAAAAATATATACATATATATATATATGTATATATATATATATTTTAGCTCCTGACAAATTTAATCCATGTTTCAAGACCAATAATGTACACGGAAATATTCCAGCTACAGCTACCTAAATGAAATAAGTTTAATTTTTAGAAGAATTTAGTGTCTTAGTTTGTCAAATAATTCATTCATTCATTCATTCATTCATTATCTGATGTATGCATGACTTCTTAAGACACTGGAGCAGATAAAGACTATATTAAAAGCTTCACAAGGCCATGCCATTTTATTTAGAAATACAAGTACATGATATTACCATAAAATCATATTGTTGGAGATAAAAAGATAAGAACAGAATATTTCCTATCCTTGGGGAGCTTACATTCTAGTGGAGGGAAATAAGATGTAAGCTCCCTAAGTTTTTTTTTCAATTAACAAAAAGTCTTTTATCTCTTTCCTCCACCCCATTAAAAATGAAAAATAAAACCCATGTAAACAAACACAATTAGTCCAGTAAAACCAATTCCTACAATGGTTATATCCTTAGCTCCTTAATCTCTTTGCAAACATTTGAAACAAACATGTTGGCAACATTGCCAGAGAGACAAGACTGAGAAAATTTCAAGAAACAAAACACTGCTACTACAGGCTATGAAGCTTAAGAGAATGTAGTGAAAAGCAATTAAACTTTAAAATTTCTGGATATCATGAACTTCTCACAATGCAAATCTTACAAAATGGAAAATGCAGAAGTAGATGTTGCAAGGAAAAAAATATAAATGACAATGAAGAAAAAGACAATGGTAAAAATGTTCGATCTGCAGTCAGGGGACCCTAATTTAAACCTGTGTTACTTGGACAAATCACTTAATCTCTACTGTCTTTAGTTTTCTTATTTATAAACTAAGGGAATTGGACTAGATGACCTCTAAAGTCTAAAGTCCCTCCAGCTTTAAATCTATGATTCCATGCTCTCAAAAAAGACCATCTATTTTGCTTTCTAAGAAGTTTTAATTGCTAGGAAGTTCTTCCTCATAGAAAACTCAAATGCCTGCCTATACCATCAACTCACACTTCTCTGTGTACAGCCTCAGAATACAAGCCAAAATACGGAAATATATTTTACACAACTGCACATATATAATCTATATCAAATTGCTTGCCTTCTCAAGGAGAAAGGGAAAGGAAGGAGGGAGAGAAATTTGGAACTCGAAATCTAAAAAAAGAGTACTAAAAATTGGTTTTACATATAATTGGAAAATACATATAAAAATGTTCACACACACACAAAAGAAGTTATAAGGCAAAAACCTCTCTCACCAGACAATGCCTCATGTATTTATTTGAAAGCAAGATAGCAATTTTGTTTTCCTGCCCCATCTTCTCTCCTCCAGAGAAGACACAACCAAGAGATGATTTTAGATGTTTTTTAGTCATCACATATAAGCACAAGGGGAGTTGAAAAAGAAATTATCTCTAAAATTTGTAAACAAAACCAAAACAAAAGCCAAAAACAAAAACAGAGAAAGATAATTGATGCCTCATAAGTACTATATGAAATATACCTGCTTATAGCGTAGAGTACGTCGTTCCAATGTATTTCGGACAAAAGGGGACTTTCTTGGCAGGGTTGAACTATCACTGTCACTGCGATATAGCTGCAGAGAATACAAAGGTAGTTAGAAATTCATCAGACCTTGTGAATATTTAATATGTTCTGAATTAAGTAACTTTTTACCCTTCCTGAAACTCTGCTTGATCTCTCATACACATCTTAATCTTCTTATTTTAAAAATGCTTTCAGCCATCACTTAAATACTTTCTGTAGTTCTATAAATCATCTAAAAATGTCTCAAGGATGTTTCATTTGACAAAGTTCCTTCCCATAAATACAAAGTACCATTTATCTTATGTATGATGTTGACAAGCACCATTTTCATATCTATCAGTACACTTGTCATTTTGTTATTTCCTATGTTTAGTATAACTTGGATAATTGATTTTCTAAAAAGAGATTCATGACTACTTGGAGAATAAGCCAATATTACAAAGCTACTGCTCTTCCAGTCAAAGGAAAAATCTGTATTAAAAAGAAAAAAACATAATACCTCTTTTATAGACTCCAAGATATAATTCATTTTCTTTGGTTTTAGTCTCTACCCTCAGTATAAATACATAACTGTGACAGTGCCAAATTAGTTAACTTTACATCCTTATTTTCCGTGTGAATTAACCCCAAATTCTCAAGCAACATTTAGCAACATGACAACTTAAAACCAGTGCAATCACTAAAACATTAAAAAAAAACAAAACAAAGAGGTCTTTCTCAAGAGTCTCCAGTAATTGTACATAGATTACTTCAATGGGGGGGGGAGGGCAGGGACAGGGCTCTACATGAAGGAAAAAGAAACACTCCCTAACAACACAATTTGATCCATCCCTCTTTCCTGGCAAGTGAAGAATATCTCACTTTCACAAATAAATGTGAAAGTGAAGAACTCATTTTTCTTCACATTTAGCAAATTAAATCCAGTCGCCTAAAGGTATCATATAATGGATCCTAAAGTAATATTTCAGAATGTTTTGGGATAATACACACCCTTACTTCACTGTATGAGCATCGAGAATTGAATTGTGCTGTGTTCCAAATATGTCCAAATTGATATTTTACTTACTCTGCAAACGTACTGACTTCGTGCTCCCGGCGAGAAAGTCTGTGAACGAACAATTGCACTACTCCGAACAAAAGGAGAACCACGAGCCCTGCGGCTGGTCCTCTCTTTTGGAAGAACTGGTACTGCTTCTGGGAAGAGATCCTCTGTGTTGGTTTCCTTATCAACCTACAAGTTAAATGATATTTACCATCACTAGTATCTCTAGGACATAGGAACTAAAACTGATGTAATCACTTAGCAACAGCAACTGGACATGACAAAGAATATAAAGCAAGAATGGGAGTCTCTTCTTTCAAAGAATTTTCAATCTTCTTGAGGACACAAGACAAATGCCATAAAAAAACTAGAGTTGTGCAAGGGCATCATAAAATCACGTGTGCAACACATAAGCATCATGCATAAGAAATTGGTCACTGGGTAAAGTCAGTCAAGAAAAGCCATCAGGAAAAAATGAGTCAAATTGGGCCTTGAAGGAATTTGGGGGTGTTAAACAAAGAAAAAAAAATGCAGAGTATTCCAAATGGAACAATCAGCATGAGCAATCACATGGAAAGAACAGACTGTATTGTGTGGAGAATGGTGGGAAGGGGCTATACTAGAAAGAAGGGTCCATATTGGGAACTGGTGAGCAAAAAAGAGAAATGCATGTAGTGAAGCTGGTTAGCAGAGTACTTTAGAGTCTAACTGAGAAATCTGAATGTGATCTGACAGGAAGTCAAAATAGATTCTTAAGCAGAAGTAACATGGGAAGCAGTGTTTCAGAAAGATTAATCTGGAAGTGCTCTGTGGAACCAATTGCAAAAGACAGAAGCTGGAGGTTGATTAATCAAAAGATTAGCCAAGTAATCCAGGCATGAGAAGATGAGGGCCTCACCTAAGGTACTGGCAAGGAAAATGGAAAGAAAGGGTCAAATCCAAAAGAACTCAAAGGAAAAATTTATCAGTCACTTGAAACCCAGCTCCAAGAAGTTTTAAACTACAAAAACCAAGCTTTTCACTTCAGTATTATTAGTTAAAATCAAGTTGGATGAATAATAGGCAAAAATGATGTGGATTTAATAAATTTTGCACTCACTACTGAATTTGTAGATGTGGCCCTGGGTTTTAAAGAATTAGTCTAATTTAAGCATCCATTCTCTTTGTCCAGTTTGAGTCTGGCAGGCTGGCTTTAGGATTATTAGTGGACCTCGTATTCCACGCCTTATTTTTTCTTCTGAAAAGCAAAACTCAAATAGCCTATTAGCTAACAATTCATGCCAATCGGGAAGTCAGCATTTCCTGACTTGCATGGAAGGAAGAACAAAGGTAACAGACCTTGATATCATAGAACTATTTATGCTGAGCAAATTATTTAGTTTATTACTTGAATCTCTGGTCAATAGTTAAGTATTGGGTAGATTCTACCTGTACTTGAGCCTGTCAGCTAAGGATCTTGACTCATACCTCACCTAAATAAATGAGACCATTGGCCAAGATCTCTCTCTTCTCCTTTCCTCCTTTTCTCACTTCACTATAATGTCTTCATCCAGTATCTTCCAAACTCTTCTGCATACATCATGAATTCCAACTCCTCCTATTTTCTCTAGTATATGGTTCCCACTATCATCATTAATGACTTTATAACCCTCAATCTCTTCTAATTTAGTGGTTCCTTCCCTGCTGCCTATAAACACGGCTCTTATGACCCACCCAAGACCCACAACCTTCCTCGAGAGCTCTTGTGCTGTATCTTGTCCTCTCCATTTGTGGTTAAATTCCTTAGGAAAGCCATCTAGTGGAGACTATGAGTATCTACTCCTCTCACATTATTCTAAAACACCAGCAAACCAGCTTCCAACCTCATCTTCCAACTGAAACTGCTCTCCCCAAAGCTAGCTGCCTTTTGTACATTGAAATTAGTTGTACTGTAGACCTCAAATTAGATGCCCTGTAGGCATTTCAAACTCAATAACTCCAAAATAGAACCCATTATGATTTCGCCAAACCTTCCCTTCTTCCAAACATCCCTTTTACTGTAGTCAACACCACAATCCTCTAAGAAAACCAAGCTATAACCTCAGTGTCATCTTTGACTCTACCTGAGCTTACCTCACATATCTAATCTCTTGCCAAACCTTGTTTTTACCTTCACAACATCCCCTGTATATGCCTCCTCCTTTCCATTTACACAGCAACCACCCTTGTTTAAGTACTCATCACCTATCACCTTGACTATTGAAATAACTTTCTGATTCACCTCTCTACCTCAAGGTCCTCCACACTCCAATCTAATTCAGTTGTCAAAGTGATTTTCCTAAAGTCCAGGTCTGATCATGACTTTCTCAATAAAATCCAATTGCTCCCTATTATTAGGATGAGTCAAAACAAAACAAAAAAAAATCCCCTCTATTAGGCATTTAAAGCCATTTACAATCTGGACCCTTCCTACTTTTCCATTCTTCTTATACTTGACTCTCCATTACACACTCTACGATTTGACTACACTAGCATAATTGATGTTCCTCACACACAACACTTTATATACTGACTCCAATGCCTTTGCACCGCCTATGTCTCTCATGCCTCAAATGCTCTCCTTGCTCACTTCCAATTCTCAGCCTTCCTGGATTCCTTCAAGACTTAGCTCAAATACCACTTTTCATAGGCACCTCATACTCCATCCCACCCCCCTGCTACTACTGCTTTCCCTCTCAGAGTATCTTTCATCTGTATATTTCTTGTATGTACATATTTACTTGAATGCTGTCTTTCCTCCTTTGGAATTTGAGCTCCTTGATGGCAAGTACCATATCTTTGTCTTTTTTTGCATCTTCAGCACTCAGCACAGTGCCTGACATATAGTATAGATAAATGCTTATCAACTGACTCTCTCCCCACTCACACATATACACATAAATATAGAGATATTTACACACACAGAGATTTAATATTGCTTTTTTAACTGCAGAGCCACTACTTTTTTCATTGTACTACAAAGAACCTATAAGAACCTATGTCTTCATCCAGTATCTTCCAAACTCTTCTGCATATATCATGAATTCCAACTCCTTCTATTTTCTCTAGTATATGGTTCCCACTATCATCATTAATGACTTTATAACCCTCAATCTCTTCTAATTTAGTGGTTCCTTCCCTGCTGCCTATAAACACGGCTCCTCTTATAAGACTCAATTCTGAGTCTCAAGACTCAGAATTCTGAGATCATATTAGGTTTACCTTTATTTTGCTCTAATCCAGTCAAATGCCAAATCCTATTGTCATTTTCTTTATATCACAGTAGTCAATCTTTACTGTTGGCCCACATCAAAAAACCTTAGTTTATGATTCTTAACTTTACCAAAATGATGACAATCAGCCTTTTGCTAATTCTCTGATTCTAGTCTTTCTCTTTTTTAAATTGACCATATCCACTAACCATTATTTGAACTTTAAAGCTTAAGACCTTCCAATGGCTCCTTCACAAATACCAAATGAAACTTTGATCATGAACTTAAGACCCTTGATGAAAATGTTCTCCTTTACAGGTCCTCCCAACAAATAGTAAAAATTTCCTACCTCCCCTTCCCCAATCTAATAATACTGCCCTCTCCTTGCCTTCATGTATTTTCCAAAGTGTCCTCAACCTTTGGAACAGACTTGCTTGCTGAAATCCTTTCCTTCCCTCAAGAACCAGCTCCTACCTCTTCCATGAAACCTATATGACCTCTTTAGCTAGAAAAGACCAAAAACACTCTCCAACCTTTCATGGCAATCTGGTTGACTTCTCCTGTTCCCTTTTCTCCTTCTAACTTGCATATTTATTTGTGAATACATCTCATCCCCTTACTAAACTCTAAACTATTGAAGGGCAGGAACAATATCATTTTTCATCTTTGTATCTTTAGTGCCTATCCCAGCATTCTAAGGCATGATTATTGAATTAAACTGAATTTCAATCTCTTGCCATACAAACTCTGCTCCCAAATATTTGCACATACTTTTTCAAGTGGGTAGGATGACCTCCCTCTTCTAATCCACCAATTTCCCTTCTGCCACTGGAAAATTTCCTCAAATAAAGCTCCCTTCCCCTGTGAAGCTTTCTGAAATTAAAAAGAGCTTTATACTGCAGTATCATTTATGTCCCTTGTGACCATCCTTCCCCTGACCACAATTAAAATTTTGTATGCATTTGTATGATGTAATGCAGAGAATACAATTTGTCTTGGTTTGGTCATCTGTCATTTTATTTTAGCTCCTAAATTTAAATCACAAATTCCTTAAGGAGATGGACAATATCATCTCCTAGAATAGGAGCACATTAAAGAGTTTTTTCCTAATTAGAATAATCAAAGCACCAGCAGTTACATCCAAGGCAATAGTCATATGACTTTCTCTACTTACCTTAAGAGAAGCAGGCTGAATCTTCCCAGAACTATACTGATCTGCCTGACCTGCAAACATATGTCCATGGCGGGATTCAACACCGACACAGTAGGCCTCTGGGTAAGGAGGACTGGTCTGAGTGCAATTACTACATCCACTGTCAACAGATTCTGCTTGCCAGCTCCTAAAGTCAGGACATTTTAAAAGATCCAAAAAAGGTTAATCAGAAACACGGGATTTTTTATACTCCCTTTCAGTAACATTGGTGGCTCTATCAGCCATCTACTTAACTGACTTATACAGGTAAAGCATGTGAAGGTTTGTTTAATATGAAAACATGGCCTTTTCTCCTAAAATAACTCACAGGATTTTGTGTTTTGCGCAAGACCAGCTCATGTTTTTGTTAAGCTGTAATCTGCAAATATGTTCTATATTTGTAATCTCACTTGAGCCTCACTACAGTCCTGTGTGGAAGATATGGTGGGTGTTCCCACTGCCATTTCACAGACAAGAAAAACTGAAAATCAGTAGCCCAATGGAGCCATGAGTAGAACCAAATACTCTGATTCCCACTTCAGTCCAATGATCTTTACATTGTACCATGTTGCATCTATTAAGTCACATGATGAATAACATCATTCATAAAGTCATTTTGACTTAGTATATAGAATTTGAGTACAATCTTTGAGTACTCCGTCATGGAGTAATGGAAATAGACTCCATCCATTCCTCTTTCCCACCCTCGATTGGATACAGTGTAAGTATAACAGAAAAAGAAGTTACAGACTGGTTTGGGTCTGGCCTCTGCCTCCTACGTATAAATTTGGAGAAGTCAATTAACCTATCTGGGCCTCTGTAAAAATGAAGGGGTTCTACTAGATCAAGGGTTCTTAATCTGGCAGCCATGACCTTGTTTTTAAAAATATTTTAATAAATGTGTTTCAATATAATTAGTTTGCTTTGCTATTCTATTATTTTATGTATATTTAAAAGAAGGGGTCTTCAGGCTCCACCAGACTGGCAAACGGGTCCATGATACAATAAAGGTAAAGATTAGATATGTTAACTTACGTTTATGATCCTTTCTGCCTCTAACATTTGATCTAATCTAATGCATTTCTTCTTATATTCAAAGAAAATCCAGGGAAGAATTATATGGAAAGAGAAAGCAACAGTAGGATAAATATGGACAGAACAGGAGTATGATTAATCATAGAAATGAGCGGATGTGAGAAGTAGGAAGAAAGAAATTTGCTATGATTCCTTGGTTATTTAATCACATTTCAATTAGTACAAGTCTTTAATGACCAATAATTCATTCTTTGGCTCTTTTGGTTATGATTTTGTTCTGACAAGTTCATTATATCAATGAGACTTCATTGTGATTTCTAAGAAATATCTAAATAGCATCAATTCTGAAGTGCTGTTGGAAATACCACTAGCTTATATTTCTCTATTTGAACGAAAGTTATTTTGTTTTTAAAGAAATACAAGGTTTAGAAGTAAACCTAGCTGGAACCATGGAGTTCATTTAATCCAATCTCTTCATTTTACCAATAAGAAAACTGAGCCTCAGACAGATTATTTAATGAAGGTCACATTGCTAATTAGCAACAGGACTAGAAGCTAAATCTACTGATTCTTATATAATTGTCTTTCCATCAATTGTATGTCCCTCATGAAATTATGCTTCATTTTTCTTGTGAAATGATTGTTTAAATTCTTTCCCAATTAAACCAAAGGAGCTTTCAACTAAAATTCATTCTTTTTTAGAAGGGAAATTCTAAAAGAGGTGGAAGACTGTTCACCTTTCAGATACAGCCTCTGCTTGATCTTCTTTCCTTTCCATCTCTAAGATTTCTTCTTCTGTATATTCCAATTTTACTCTCTCCTCTGCTAATTCTCTTTCCACTGCCTCCAGCTGGGCTGTGGTCCTGGCTAACAGTACTGTAACAGCATCCTGAAAGAGAAAATGGGATTCCTGGGAACCAATTTAAACCAGCAATTTTACTGTTGAAGCAAAGAATAGATACAGTACATACAAAAGAAAATCCATTATAATACAGATAATGGTCCCTGATAGCTCCCCAGTAGAAAAGAATTCACTCCCCATGGACTCATTAGTAATACTTTAAAACTGACATACATAAACCATCACCTTTTGTGGAGATATAAGTATTCAAAGTACAAAACAACGAACAATGAATCACCTGTATTTATAAAATAATTTTGCATAAAGAAAAATCTATTCTGCTGAAACTTCCACAGGTATGTGATGCTTTATTTTTTTTTTTTAAATCCTGAATCTGATTTTATCAGTACAGGAAGCTGCATCAATGGGATCAGCAATGTCTCTGCAAAAATTTTAAGAGAGTGGCCTGGGGGGACTAAGAGGTTGAATGGCTAGTCCAGGGTCAGTGGAGGAACTTCAGTACTCAGTATTGGTCAGAGGAGGAATCTGAACCTAGGTCTTCATGGGTGTGAGGTCAGCTCTCTATCTACTCTGTCATGCCTTCTCTCACTATTTTAAATACTTGCATTAATATGCTAACCATGTACTTCTATTTACTATATCCTAAATACTTTAAGATCCCAATAGAGTTTTCTTAAAAACTAAAATGTTAATTTTTGACAATTCCTAACACTCAAACCCTTTATAACCTAAGTAAACAGCTCTACCGTTTTTATGCTGGTGTTATTTCCATGACTTTCTGCTGTGCCTTCTTCTAATTGGTTACTCCCTTTGGTCCTTTGAGGGTCAGAGCTGGTGAAGACTTGGACAGAATACCAGCGTAACTGCATTTCACTGGAACTTTCATAATCAGCCAAGTTAATCTGAGCAATTCCCTGGAAATAAGTGACATAAATGAAACTAGATTACCACAGAGCATTTTCTATTTCAACAGTTACTTTAGCACGAGAGAGAGAGAGAGAGAGAGAGAGAGAGAGAGAGAGAGAGA